AATGATTTGGAGGGGTGTCCCAATACTTTTGGCAATATAGTGTATTTTTTTAAAAACTGTCCATTTCAGTTTTGGTTTCGGCCAAATGCATCCTGAATTTTCGGTTTCAGTCCAGAATTCTCATTTCGGTGCACCGAAACGGCAAAAAAAAATGGTTGCAAAAATATCATGTGACATATGTGACAACCACCATTTTATTCTCCAGTGCCTCTGCATTCAGAAAACATATATTTGGGGGTTCTCATTTTTTAGCAAAAAGTAAAACGTAGAATTTAACATGTAAAAATTAAAGTTTTAAATCAAGAATTCACAAAAAAAGGTTTTGGTTTTCTACTTTCAGCAGCTTTAGCAGTTGTCCAGTGCTTAACTTTCATACTAAAATCAAATTCTTTGTTTTTAAATGAGCGCTCAAAACTAAGTGATAGAACTAATCGTCCTCAATTTCCCCACACCCTACGAACAGGCAAAAAAAAAAACAGCGGTTTTGTCACTAGAGCACGACTCTCCTTGTAGTCCCGCCTCCAGACTTTATACTGGAGCTGGATGGCTGCGGCCATATTGTTGTAGCCACATTATGACAATTTAAACTGTGGGCTCCACAAAAATGTTTCCTCTCATGAAGACAACCAGGAAGTGTGCCTCTTCCGTGTTTACTATCATTTCCGAAATAATAGAAATGCGACCTAGTTGGACGTCATGGCAGTGAGCAATAAGAAACTTACCTTGGTGTTTTTTCTCATGTCAGAGACATCGGTTATGGTGATCAGTAGATGACGTCTGTGCCCCGGGAGAGCAGCACTCGGAGGAAGAAGTGCCGCAGCAGTGCCCATTGCTGACATGCAGTCTGGGGGTGAGTACAACTCCTGGTTATCCCCCCCACATAATTGGGGGCATAGCTGACAACACTTCCACAGAGCAATCGTATCTGTGTTCACTGCTGTGTCTAGGCATTTCCCTAGTTATTCCTGGACTGACCTGTACAAAAGACAAAACTGGAAAGCTAAAACTTTTCTTTTTATTTGTAGTAGGGATGCTTTTTTATTTCTATGCCTTGTGTGTACCATTGGGGAAAATTCTTTTCACTTCCTGTCCCAGAGACTCAACAGGAAGTCTCCCAAAATGAGGGGAATTCCCCTCTTAGACAGTTGTCCCTTTTTTGGGAGATTTTCCTGATTTATTTCCCTCACTTCCTGTCCTAGGGTAGAACTCTAAGGTTAGGTTCACACTGGCCTACTACGGTTTGAGAGCAGTGCGATTGTATGTGTGTTTTACACATTGTTTTAGGTGCAATCCCATTGACTTCTATTGGATCCTGCAATTTTATGAAAGTGTATCAAAATCCTGAATGTTCCAAATCAGAATGCAAATGCTAATAGACCACCCGCCAGAAGGCACTTGAACCTGTGTGTAACCAGCACAAATAATCAGGCTGTGCTCAAACTGCAGCTTACCAACACAGCATAATATTTTGAATTTATTGTACCTGCCCATTAAAGCAGAACTTTACCCTTAGTCCTGGATCACATATATATGGCCGTGGTTTGCGAGAGCCCATTCATTTGAATGGACTCCCGTCCCACACAAGGAAGAAGTCCCTGCACTTCTTCTGAAAACGCAGCTCACACGGGACCTCGGTTTCCAGTAAGGTTGCATTTTCCAGTGTGGGCGGCGTGCCATTAGAACTAATGGCACCCGCCTGCGGGTCCATATTTCTCTGAGGTGCGGCTGCACGGATTTCGTGCGAATCCGCAGTGGCACCACCCGCACAGATGTGAACCTAGCCTAAGAGTTTGATAACAAGTATTCTTTTAAAGAGAAGTATGGCTTTTTTTTTTTTTTAAATCATACTTACCTAGGTGGATGTAGCATCAATCTGATGCTGCATCGGTGCTCCGCTGGCTCTAAGGGTGAGAACTGAATGATCAAATACCACTGATTGCTCAGTTCTCCCTGCCTCTCTGAACACAAAGTGGTGTCTGTCAGTCTCCACTGTCTGCTTTGGCCCCGCAGTGCTCACTGGAGCCCTGAGCTGTGGAGGGGCAGGGACAGCTGCTTTAGGTTATCAGCGGCTTGCTGAGAGGCCAAGCCAGGTGCTGGTCTAGGATCCTGGGTCGATCCTGACCATATGGTCTCAACCCTTCCCCAGCCTACACCGTCTCATGACATCAGCCGGGTCACAGGAGTTCAGAACAAACTGCATTCCTGTGAATCACAGAAGTACAGTCAAACGAGCTTTGGCTGTAATTGTCCTTTAACAAAAGAACATACATTCCAAATGAACAATTATGCTACCAAAATTAGTGGGTGCTGTATATTGTTTGCTGCATCGCTCCTCTTCCTTCTTGCTGGAGGCTGCCATTTTGTTGAAGCTCAGAGCAGCCACTTCCTTCTTTAAGCACTTGCCCTCCGCCCTATAGCAGAAGTACTGCTACGGGGCAGCAAGGCTGCGCAAAATCACGTGTGTGTGTATATTTACGTGATTTGCATGTCTGGGTAGGGGGCACATGCACCATCCTACCCGCCCCACTATTGGCTGCTGGGGATGTCAATCTCCGGGTCCAATCTGGGATTTGGTCATCCTAGGTAGGGCTGAGGAGGGGAGAGATCTGTGTGTAAACACAGACCTCTCTCCTTTCAGCATGGACATGCTGCTTTGTATCTCTGCACACCAGAGATACAAAGCAGCATGTGTCTCCCAAGTAAAACAGCACAGAATATAAAATACACACAGCTAACCCTTTGATCACCCCAGATGTTAACCCCTTCCTGCCCAGTGTCATTAGTACAGTGTCATTGCTTTTTATTAGTACTGCTTTTTATTGTGTCACTGGGGATGCTCACCGCAGTCCCACTATAAGTCGCTAATTGCCGCCATTACTAATATAAAAAAAATAAAAATTCTAGTTTATATACCCCAATTTGTAGACACTATAACTTTCACGTAAATCAATTAATATACACTTATTGGGATTTTGTTTAGCAAAGACATGTAGCAGAATACATTTTGGTCTAAATTTATGAAGAAATTAAATTTTTTTTATTGGATATGTTTTATAGTAAAGTAAAAAATATTGTTTATTTATTTCAAAATTATTGGTCTTTTTTTTGTTTATAGCACCAAAACTTAAAACAGTAGAGGTGATCAAATACCACCAAAAGAAAGCTATATTTGTGGGAAAATAATGACATTAATGTAATTTTATGTACAGCGTTGCATGACCTCGCAATAAAGTAACGCAGGGACGTGTAGCAAAAAATGGCCTGCTCAGGAAGGGGGGATGGGTTGGAGGTGTTAAATCCAATGGAGAGCAAATGGTTAAAATTCTCTCCCTCTCCTTGGTCTAAAAAACTGTCATTTTCTTCAATTAAAATATGTACATTTCCAGCCTTGCCTGTATGTCTTGGCTCAGGTAGAAAGGAAAGCTGACAGAAGCTTTTGTTCTCATGCACGCAGGACATTTAAAAAACTCTCCTAGTAGCCCTCCTGGCAGCAGCGTTTTTGAAGAAAACACTTGATGCCTGTAAAAGTATTTAACCCTTTTACAAGCATTTAGGTACGTTTACAGGTGTCAAACACTTGGGCATTAATTCATTTAATTCTCTTGTACAATAAAAATCGTTTGTAAACAAAATTCTCCAGAATAACAATGTATTCTGACCATTGAAATGAATTACCATTCAAGCACTAAACCCGCCTAGTGTTAACATGCATTTAGGCACATTTAGATGCGAATAAAGGCGTTAGGTGTTTTCTCTGCCAAAAGCTGATGCTCCTGGACGCACTGGCCCTGGGATTTTTTTTTCCTGCCTATTATTATTATTATTATTATTATACAGTATTTATAAAGCGCCAATAGTTCGCTCAGCGCTGTACATTACAATGGGGGACAGAACAATAACACTACAATACAATGCAAAACATGAGGGAATCGAGGGCCCTGCTCTTTCGAGCTTACAATCTAGGAGATAAATGCTCCTGCCGCTAAAAGCTCCTGAAGGTCTATGTGTGCATGGGCACATAGGATAACATGGAGAACCGTTTACAAGAAGTAGAAAAAAAATAAAAAAATACCTGAGTCCCCTAAAAGTGTCTGCAAAAACGCTCTGTATGCATGAGGCCTTATAGTGCTCAGACTCATAGCTATGCAACTGCCAGGGAGAAAATAGAATATCAGGGAGATAAGACACTTCTCTTGTAAGTTTAACTCTTTTGTGTTTCCCCGGCAGCACAATTTGTCCTGTCACCTCCTTCTTCTTTTTTTTTTTTTCTCCTTTCTGTAATCTGTGTTCTCTCTGCACAGTCTGTGTCATTCCTGTTGCTTTCTTTCTCTTTCATCAACAGTAAATCCTAAAGCTGTCAGCAGATCGGCCTCTAGTGGCTCTTATGTTAAGCACAGTGCTGGGAATAGAGAGCACTGGGCATGTGCAAAGCAGTGTGAATGTATGAAGATAAAAACTGAGTCTTTAGAACCACTTTAACCACTAGCCTACAGGGCACTTATACCCCCTTCCTGCCCAGGCCAATTTCCAGCTTTCAGCACTGTCACACTTTGAATGACAATTGCACGGTCATGCAACACTGTAACCATATGAAATTTTTATCATTTTTTTGTGACAGATAGAGCTTTATTTTGGTGGTATTTAATCACATCTGGGTTTTTTATTTTTTCTTAAACAAACCAAAAACCGCTGAAAATTTTGGAAAAAAAAAAAAAAAAACATTTTTTCTTAGTTTTTGTTGTAAAATTTTGTAAATAGGTGATTTTTCTCCACTGATGTGCGCTAATGAGGTTGCAGTGATAGGCACTGATAGGCTGCACTGATGAGGAGGCACTGGTAGGTGGCACTGATGGGCATTGACAGGCATCAATGATGGGCACTGAAAGGCAGCACTGATATATGGCACTGTTTAGGCGGCACTGACTGGCACTGTTAGGCGGCACTGACTGGCACTGTTAGGCGGCACTGATTGGCAGCAGTGATAGGTGGCACTGACTGGCACTGATGGGTGACACTGAAAGGCAGCTCAGATGGGCACTGATATGTGGCATTGATGTGCACTGGTAGGCACTGATATGTGGCATTGATGTGGCACTGTTCAGCACTGGCAGCTGGCACTGATGGACACTGACAAGTGGCACTTCTGGGGCCACACTGATCATCAGGGCACACTGATCATCAGTGCCCTGATGATCAGTGTAGATGTCCGCTCCGAGGAATGCTGATTACCGGCTCTCTTCTCCTCTCAAGCTGTCAGCGTGACAACTCGTGGGGAGAGAAATGCTGATAACCGGCATTTTCCTGTTTACATGTGATCAGCTGTGATTGGACACAGCTGATCACATGACCGAGCTGACATCTTCAGCTCTTTCCGTAGATCCATGATCCGCTGTGTCCGAGGGACACAGCGCACCGCCGATCGCCGCGCGCTGAGAATGGGAGGATGTCATATGACGTCCTCCCAGAACGAGAGAACCACCTTGCGCCCGTCATTGGACTATATGGCGGGCGGAGGTGGTTAAGCTCCTTCCTTCCACTCTCACCTTCTTTCAGATTTTTTTTTTCTTTCCCTATCCCCAACAATTGTTTTTTATGTGTCCCATTCACATTAAAACACTGGTGTGGTGCAGAAGAATGCAGACATGCTGCATTGCTCTGCAGGGCATCGCAATGTGCTGTTGTGCGTAGTTCATAAATGAAGTTTAAATTTGTCACACTTTAGTAAAGTAAAAGCAACTCCATAGGTATATTGTTTATACCTGATGGACCATTGTGTCAGCTGAAAATCACTTCACTAGTTCCCACTACTAAAGTGATAGCTGCAATCCTGTGGACCCTGTGCTTAGCAGCTTCCTTTCGCACACTGATCACAGGGAGTCGCTCGCTTGGTACCGCTGCCATTAACAGAACACCTTGTATTTTTCATTGAATACAAGACATTCTCTAGTTTGATGGTGGATATGCAATGCACTGAAACAGCGTATCTCGCTACTTGTCGCAACGAACACTAGTGCGAGCACTTAAAAAAAAAAAAAAAACATGGGTTGATTTTCCCCCCCCCCCTCCCATTTTCTTTCTCAGTGACAATTCCTCTATTCCTGTTATGATGAAAAAGCAAGGATTGTATTTTCGCTCACCTTTAGCTCCAGTGACAAAGTTGATACATTTCCCCAGTGGGCAGTGGGCCACAGACAGCAAAAATGAAAGGTTACCACGGGCTACTGTACTTGGCATTTCAGTCTGACATCTTCAGACCAGATGCGTATATCTGTGTTACAACCTGCTTATAGTCCTCATCATTTTGTCTGCATTAGAGCATCATTGTATTGCTAAAAAAGGTAATCATTGCATAAGGAGAACTATCTGCTCCAATCTTTTTCATGTGATTCATTTCGAGGACTGGCAGGTATTGTATTGTAAAGCTCTGAACAAACTGTTGGCGTTTATATAAATCCTGTATAATAATAATTATTACCAGCCTCTTTTTCTATGTGCCCATGTATGCCTAGCCTTACTTTTTCTTATCACTTGCTAGTTGTTTAATTTTCTTTGTGCTTTTTCTCCCCAGATATTTCACAAGTGTCTTTTAGCAGCCCTTCTAGTCAAGAGACATGGGCCAGCAAAGTGAAACAACCTCCAAAAGCTAGGATCCCTCCAGCTACCGTCATGAAACCTGTATGTTATTCACCTAGTATTGCTATGGATTCAATATCACAGGGCTTTAACAAGGTATGTAGAAAAACTGGAATAGAGCTAAAACCCAAGCGTGGGAATCTGTTCAAGATACTATACCAAATGCTTATGTATTGGATTGCAACTTTATAGTATCTTAATCTGATACATTATACACACTGCTTTTTATTAAAGGGTTAGTCTGCTTATAGGTAATATTTTATAGGTGGTTTGAATTAGCCCCTGGCTTCTTGTATGCCTCGAATACTCCCAAGAGTGAGAGCTCCCTGCTATAATTTCTGATTCTGTTCTTGTCCAGCTGGAAGACCTAGATAATTTTACCTACCTTTTGCATTTTTTTTTCTCCTCCTTGTTGCATTCCTTTTTAACTTAAAATTTATACAAAACTCAGCATTGGGAGTCAGAATCCCTGATTATGCCCACAGCAGCTGTGCATAATAGGTGTTCTCTTTAAAGTGGTTGTAAAGTTAAAACTTTTTTTTTTACCTTCAGATTAGCGGTGGAATGCATTTAAAATCCTGTGAGCCACTATCTTCTGAGTTCATTAACATCAGCAGGTTTCAACTATTTATTGAAAAACTCTTGCCTTTGTACAGAACTTAAATTTTACACCTTACATTCTAATATGTAAATTGGATCCAACTATCTATGTAATTAACAACGAAATGCATTTCAGAATCTATACATATTTATGTGTCTCTGATTTCCAGAGACATTTAAAAACCTCCAATATATCTTGACTGTAGGGAACTCCTAATGTGCTGTAATGGTATTGATTGTCAAATAAAATGTAACAGTTTATTTAATGAACCATTTTTTCCTAGATGTTACCATCACCTAATTTGGATTCTGAATCAGAGGCTGAGGAAGTGGTTGCAAAGAGAAAGAGAAGGAAAAAGAAGAAAAATAAACAGAGGCCAAACAATGAATGCCCTGAAAATGTAAAGTCTGAAAATGAGAACATTGTTATACAGGAACCCCCAAAATTTCAAGTAAGATGTGAAATTATTAATGTTCATTTACCAGATTTTCAAAAACAAAAAAGCGTTTATCTCCTCACAAAATCAATAGGATGTGAATGGGGAAAAATACTAATAATAAATTAGATTGGTTGGTTAATATATGCTGTAATCTCTAGATCCAAAACACATGCATAAGCATTCTAAAACATCAACTCTTGAGTGAACCAAATAAATCAGTGAGATAAAGAATACAGTAAAATTAAACTTTCATGAAATAGCATAAGTGAAGTGTCCATTCATATATTTACATAAGGTAAAATGAGTGAAGTGTCCATTCATATATTTACATAAGGTAAATGAGTGAAGTGTCCATTAAATAACTGATCAGTCCAGTGATGTACTGATAGGTGACTTCTTATTCATGTTCCCAGGAAACGCATGCAATAAAGGGGATGCACTAATCCTTTACCATGTATACTGAGGTTGGCAACTTACCAGATGCCTATCTTAACCCAGCGTGTTCAGTGTACACACAACATCAGCATATTGGAGAGAAGTGGGGAAAAAAACAGCAGAGAATCTTGCAATATTCAGATGATACAGAGAGGGGTATCAACCCCATATATCCTAAAAAAAAAAAGAAGAGAAAAGATCACTACCATAGTGTGATATGTTTAATGGAATCAATATAAGTACATGAAAGTATTGCACATTTACCAGTGTATGCTTGACATTTTCTTCTTTTTTTTTTTTTTTTTCCTTCATTTTAAAAAAAGATTCAGCTGATCACATACAAATTCTGCTTTGATTTGGTTTGTCGAAGCCAGTGAATTGTACCAATGACTATGCAGTGTGTGCCATGTTTTTTAATATTGTAGGTTAAATGGATTGTTTTGTTAGACAATCACACTACACAAATGGGGCTTTTTGAATGACTTAAAGTGGTTCCAAGGCCTAAACATTTTTTTACTTGAATGCATTCTCTGCATTAAGACAAAAAAATGTTTAAGCATCAATACCCCCCAACCCCACCTACCCCTTATACTTACCTGAGCCCTCACTTGATCCAGCACTGTGCCCATTTGGAGCGGCTCTGTCTTCTTTCCCTGCTCTCACAGGATAGAATGAGCCATTGGCTCCCGCCGCTGTCAGTCAGATTCTAGACAAGGGGGTGGGGGTGCTCCATGCTGTCTTTGTCTGTAGACTTGGGCAGCGCAGCTCGCAATTGAGCCTGCATGAGTGCCCCCATAGGAAGCAGCTTTCTATGGGGACATTCGCTGAAGAGGAGGAGCCAGAAGTACCAGTGGGGGACCCAAAAAGAGCAGGTTCGGGGGCCATTCTGTGAAATTATTTGTGCACTGATTGTGGAAGCCTCCCTTTTTAAACACTTTCCTGAGTACATTTTCAATCCAGTGCTGTCCAGTCTGCTGCAGTTGTTCCTTCCCTCAGTGGGCAGTCATTGGCTTCTACTACTGCCAGTCAAATACTCTGAGGAGGGAGAGGCAGGCAGGGCCAAACAAAGCTGTATGTTTATAGATGCATACAGCCTGGCTTGGGAGTGAACCCGTGTGTCTGCCCCCATAGCATGCACTTGTTATGGGGTCAGACACAGAAGAGGAGGAGCAGAGAGTGCTGGCAGGAGGAACACAGACGTTGAGGTGGAGATTCAGGGTCATTTTGTGCAATACCTTTGCTCTGAGTAGGCAAGTATAACATGTTTGTTATTTTAATTTAAAAAAAAAATCTTTGCAATCACTTTATCACTTGCGTTTAACATCTGAATTGGCTGAATGGAGCAGGGACTGCTTTAAATGGCATGCCATACTCTGTAGTGACAAGTAACATGCAGTCATTTCTGATTTCTCTGCATGCTCCTTGTTGGTGGACTGCGATGCCTTTGAAAGTAAAGCAGGCTCACCATTTTACATCTAAAGTCAAAACCATGTAACAAACCGTGCATAAAAATGGGAAAAATTAAAGGAAAATTTAATTTTTCAAATTCTTTGCTAATAAAGTGTTGCTAAACCTAAGACCCTGCATTCACTATATCTGGTCTTCCAGTACACAGAACGTGGAAATACAATTATTTTAGTAAATATAAACTGCTAAATACATTTTCTCATCAGCAGTTAGAGCAGTCTTGTGACTTCTAGCAGTGTCCAGCAGAGCACTGGTTTAAAGCTTGTAGGAGGAGTTTCCATTCTCCCCTGATTGTCCTATGAGGCTGCATAACCCCTGGCCCTCTGTCTGGACAGTGCTGATTGGCCCTGTGCTGATCGCATGCACCGTCCCAGGTACAAAAAAAAAAAAAAAAAAACTCTATTAATACCAAACTGAGCATGTGCAGCTTGTCCCCAAGGCTCTGTTCTATCAACAGATGGATTGGAGACAGTAGAAGAAGGGTTTGATCAGAGAAGACAGGATCAAACATCCTTTTTATACAACATGGAGGATTAAACCCCTTAGGTTCCATGGGGAATTTAACAAGCATGCTTTACTGCATATACAGACTGTTTTTACTGTTGTGGGTTTAGTAACACTTAAGTTGAAGAAATCAACCCCACTGAATAGTACGACTTCCCAACTACACAGCATGCTTCAGGGTTTAGAGATCAGAAACTGTGCAAGTAAGAGGGGAACACTTACACATGTATGCCCTTGCGAGGGCTGTGTTTTTTTTTTTTGTTTGTTTTTTTTGTGGGTTTAGTACCACTTTAATTTCTGATAAAACTAAGAAAACAATATATATATTCAAATCTGCTACTACAATAAAGGTTAGGTTCACCTTTTAAAATAAATGATAAACTCACGTGTTTGTGCAAGTTAGATGTAAAAAAAAAAGTGCTTTTTATTATTTTTTTATTTGATTTTTTTTTCTCAGCAGCCTGCAGAACATTGCACCCAAAATCAGCGGATCATGGTTGCAATGTCAGACTCCTGCAAACTCTCCCTCCACCTTTTCCATTTGTCACATATCGTAAAACCAACTTCTTTAAATTTAAAATCCTAACATAACTTCTCAAATTATCAAGCATGGGCACTCCTGCTGTTTATTTCATATGATTATCATACACAGCCTTTTTCTTCCAAAAGGATGATGAGGAATTCCCTGACTTGGTGTCTTCTACTGGTGTTGCTGAAAGAGGTTTAAGACCTGAAAATAGAAGTTATTCTAGTTACAGCTGGGGACCTCGAGAGGCATTGGTAAGAAAGTACATTTTAGAAAGTGTTTTACTGTAACACATTTATCTGAACTCCTCGAAAACATCCCCAAGGTAAAAATGAATGAGGATTTTTTTTGTTCTTTCTGCTGTAAAATCTTTCTTGTTGAGTTGGGGGACACAGATCCCAGCTGAGGTTTCTATTTCTGTCTTGCCTTCTTTATTACATGTTTATTTCAGAGTTTATTGCTATGTTTTTTTTTTTTTTTTTTAATTACTTTCTCTGTGATTTTCTAGTTGCTCTCTTTCCCCCCCCCCCCCCCCCCTTTTTTTTTTTTTTTTTTTTTTTTTTTTTTTTTTATACGTCTGTGCTACAAGGCAGGAGTATAACACACAGAGGAGAATAAAGTTGTCTTGGTGTCCATCCTGTAATGGGTAGGGCATTTACGTCAGGGTAAGTCTGTGTTCCCCAAAAGTTTTTATTGTAAGCACAAAAAAGCTTCTTCATTACACTTTGGTATTGTTTATTACTACAGCACTGCAAAAAAAAAAAAAAACCATACTATGAGGTCACACAGAAATATTTTTGATGCAACAATGTGAGTGAATTATAGTTCACTCCCATATATAGTGAGTGATCAGTATAGTTTGGCATTTGGATGCCAGCTTTTATGTGATATTATAAAAGCAAATAAAACAAAAATGTAAGCAATGCTGTCTGAGGTTAGTACTTCCGCCTGGCAGCACTAGGGTCATCGATTTGAGTCCCTACCACAGCACTACCTGCCTGCAGATTTCATATTTTCCCTGTGCCTGTGTGGGTTTCATACGGGTACTTCAGTTTCGTCCCACACTCCAAAGACATGCTGGTAGGTTACTTGACTTCTGTCTAAATTGGACCCAGTAGGTGTATGTTTGAATGTGAGCTATGGACCTTTAGATTGTAAGCGGCCTGCGGGCATGGACTGATGTGAATGTACAATATATATAAAGCGCTGTGTAAATTGACTGCGTTATAAAAGTACCCATAATAAAAAAAATATAATAAGCTTAATACACTATTAAATGAGAAAAGGTAATAGAGTGGACATCCATTTATACTTAAAGTGGATGTGCCACCAGAACAAGGTCCAAATTTCCCTTGATTTTGGAGTGATTCCCTCTCATTTTGTGTTGTATCTGCCGTATAGGAAGTGATGGGACATCCCCCTAACAGAACACAGTAAAAATAAACACTTATACTGTATCCAAAACTAAAAATATGTTTTAAGGGGTATTTCACTTTTCAAGGAAAAAGTTTCTGCTTGTGACATTTTTGAATTATTTATTCTATAGTAAGGTGAGGCCAATGGGCAGCGTGAGTCCTTAATTTTACTTTGAAACCATTGCAGAAGGTAACCAGACACCTAGTACAAAGCTGATCTGTGAATCTTGGCTGGAACTGACCTAATATATCATTAAATCCCTAAATCTACCAGGAATCATCAAAGACAAAAGGCAGTGGAAGGAAGAGCAAAACTCCTGTACAGCTGGATTTAGGAGGCATGCTGGCAGCACTGGAGCAGAAACAACACATGGATAAAACCAAACCTTCTACTAAGCCAGTCATCTTATCTGGTAATTGGCATATCTTTGTTTTTTTCAGAAGTCTTTATACAGTTCATTGAATCATTTTTAGTCTTCATTTACACAGGTGCATAGAGCCATATCTCAGTGTAGTGGGTTGTGTTTATTCACCAGGGGAATTTCAAGTGTTTTCTGCAGCTAGCCTGTTAAAGCATTGCCACACTGGGAGATGCAGTGGATGTACGGATCTTCCTGCACATGCCAATGTTTAAATGTGCATCCATTTCTATGCATCAGTTCCTGTACGCATGTAAACACTGGCGTGTGCAAGGAGATCTGTAAAGCCACTGCTTCACTCAGCATGTCATTGCTTTTAACAGGGTGGCTGCACAGAACAGCTGTTATTGCCCAGACACACATAAACACAAACCTTTGCATAGTTTATGTGCCTGTGTCAATGAACTTTTGATGTGTTCCTTGTCCTCCTTTTTCATATTTTATTTTTGACGCCATCTGTTGCAAGATTCACCTGAATACCCTGCAATGAAATTTTGGGGCTCTTGGAGAATTTTTAGCATCAGTTAGCTGTTAGGCTGAATTTGCTGGGCCAGCCCGTCCTGGACAAATTAGCAGTTTGTTTGAAATCTGTGCCATTTGTAGATTATTTTCCTTACAGTAGAATGATGGACTTAAATAATTTGGCAATTTGTTTATCCCTTTCTGAGTGCCATAGAGAACTATTTTTATCTTGGCATGATGAAACCACAAACAATAATCCCAAAGAGAACTTTAGACCTTAGATATCCAAGGTTTAAATAAGGAAGGTTTCACCTGCATTCACCTAAGGAGGTTCTAAGCAATGAATGGCAAACCTGTTTAAACGTTTCAGCACCTAAAAAAGTTATTCTAAAAATTTTAAAGTGGTATTAAACCTAAAAGTACACTTGTATTGTATTGAATCTTACTAATTCTTAGATGTGATGGCTGCATTTATTTATTTATTTTTTAGGCCGCCTTTTTTATTTTCATCTGGCCAGTAAATCTGTTATTTTTCAATAGAACAAGCTGTCCTGCACATGTAGTAGTTAGAGGTTTGAGGCAAACTATTTAACTGCTTCTGGACCGCCCACAGTTTATGTACTGTGGATGGGCGGCACAAGCAGGCTAAGCGACATAGCTATGACCACCAGACACACTGGTTTGCAGCTCCTGGTACCTGGCTACTTTTGATTAGCTGGGGAATCGTGATTATTATGAGATCACGATGTCAACAATGCTGTGAATGCATTTCATTCATAACAGTAGTGCTGTAGTAGTGCTATCACATGGTAGCTGGGCCAATCGCAGCACCCTGTGCCATGCAATAGCTGTGGGCCAAGCACAGCACACAATATTAATCACAGCTGTTATGAATGTAACCCGTCCATTACAGTGTGAAACATTGCTGTTACAGTGATCATTGCTGTAACAGCAATCAAAGTGTTTGGGAAAAAATCCCTGATAACACCCCCTTCCTCTTTCCCTCAAGTAGTACTGTGTTACTATGGTGACACTGAACTATTCTGATGTAAGTATGAAAAAAAAAAAAAAATAGTGAATTTGTTTTAACATACTGTCACCAGTCAGTGTCCCTGGTATCCACCACACAAGTCATATGATGCTGTACTGCACTGGTTGACAGTATAAAAAACAAAATTGTGAACAAAAATCACATTTTATGTGTTTCTTCATTTTCGAAAAAATTACAGCTTCGCAAAACTTGCTATGACTCTTACTAAATACTCTGGACTGTCTACTTTCCAAAAAGGGACCATTTGGGGGGTTATTTGTATCGTCCTGGCATTTTAGTGCCTCACAAAATGAGATCGGCCATCAGTACATCAGGATTGATCAATTTTTAAATAAATATATATATATATATATATATATATATATATATATATATATATATATATATATATACACACCATAGTTTGTAGACGCTATAACTTTCACACAAGCCAATTAATATACACTAATTGGGATTTTTTTTTTTTAACAAAGACATGTAGCAGAATATATTTTGGCCTACGTTCATGAGAATTTGATTTTTTTCATTAGATATGTTTTATAACCGCAAGTAGAAAATATTGGTTTTTTTTGTATTTTCAAAATATTCTGTCTTCCCTTTTTTTTTTTTTTTTTTTTTTTTTTTTTTTTTTATTTATAAAGCAAAAAATAAAACAAAAGCAATGGTAAGAGAGTGCTTTATTTCTGTGAAAAAATAATGTAAATTTTTATTTGGACAGTGTTGCATGACCACACAAATGTCCGTTCCAGTAGTGCAGTGCTGAACAGCAAAAAAAATGGCCTGGTCATGAAGGGGGTAACACTGACAGGGTGCTTACAATGATCAGCTTTTATTAATTTTTTATATAAAACCTTTATCACAAAGGGAACAAACCTGTTGCTGTAACTGCTTAAAAAGTGCTAACTGGAGTTTGGCTTTAATTTGTTTAGTGTATCTAAAATTAATGCAGCCATGACATCTAGTGATTGGTATACATTTTTGGTTTTAGGTTAACACTGCTTTAAGCATTGCTATATTAATTGACATACACTATATGAAAAACAGTTGTGGACACCTGATCATCACACTTGCCTACATAGCCAAAGTCTGTGGACACTTCTTCAAATTAAGAGTATTTACAGCATGCAAATTAATTTTAGACAATTGTGTGCTTCTAACATTGTAATAGTGGTTTAAGGAAAACCTTTCCCAAAACATCACGTTTCCATGTGTTTTTATGATAAATTTGTATTCTAGTTGGTGGTGGTGTTCCTGTGCTATCCAGAGAGCCCAACAATACACCTAAGAACCCTCAGGCAAAGCAAGGCCAAGCTCCTCACAATCCTCTTGATTCTAGTGCTCCTCTGGTCAAGAAAGGAAAGCAGCGAGAGGTGCCCAAAGCCAAAAAACCAACTTCCCTGAAAAAGGTTCGTATTCGCTGATATTGGAACTCTGCTTCTCTGCATGTAAATAAAACATTTCTTTGAACATTTTAAGTTCATTAAAGGTCAATATACATAAAATGTAAGGGAAAAAAAATAGGAGAAGGCAATCCAGAGGAGGAAAATCTGGCTTCCAATATGCATGGACTTTATTGGCACACCACGAGACACTATTATATAAAATCAAAGTAAGTGTATTATAATATTAAGATATACCAACACATATTTAAAAAAGGGGAAAACACATATTCAGAAAATTGTATCCTTGAAAGGTAAAACCATACAAGGATTTCAGGCTAGCTAGTGTACCATTCCAGTAGAGGGTATATGTATGGTTTTAGCTTTCCAGGATACATTCTTCTGGATATGTGTTTTCCCTTTTCTTTTAATATGTGTTGTTATATTTTAATAATTGTAATAAACTTACTTTGATTTTGTACAGTAGCGTCCCGTGGTGTGGCTTTAAGGTTTGTACATATTGGAAGCTGGTGGAGAGTTGTCTGCTTTTCCTATTTTTTTCCCTTGATAATTTTAGATGTGGCACTTTGAAAGTCCTTACTATTCTATACATAAAATTTAGTTTTGATTTGTATATTCAGAATGCATATGTAAAAAATATTACTGAGATTTGACATGCGCCTTATTGCTGAACACATGGGACACATGAAGCAATAAAAGTCAGTCAGTTGTTTATAAACATATTTGCAAAGATATTGCTTAGTTCTCTTTTTTTTTTTTTTAAATGAAGTTCTCCTGGAAGTGCAGAATGGGCATTTGTAGTAAAGCTCTTGCAGGTGATTTGTTTTCGGATCTTCATCTTCAAGTATGGGTCCCAGCATGTTTATGACACCTGTGTCCAGTTCTTACACCCTTCTGGATGTAGGCAGTACATGTTGTAGGCTTCACAAACAGCAAAGTAAGATCAAAGAGTAGAACACAGTTGCTGGAGAGTTGAGGGCAACTGTAATTAACACACTATACAGTGCTATGACCCTAAACTACCAGTTTGCACATTTAATCATTTGCTTGTCATGCTCTTCTTTACGCCTTGTTTAACCACTAGCCTACAGGGCACTTATACCCCCTTCCTGCCCAGGCCAATTTCCAGCTTTCAGCGCTGTCACAATTTGAATGACAATTGCGCAGTCATGCAACACTGTACCCACATGACATTTTTTTTGAGCCAGATAGAGCTTTCTTTTGGTGGTATTTAATCACCTCTGGGATTTTTATTTTTTCTTAAACCAAAAACCACTGAAAATTTTGAAAAAAAAGGTTTTTTTTAGTTTTTGTTATACAATTTTGTAAATAAGTGATTTTTTTCTCCTTCACTGATGTGTGCTAATGAGGCTGCAGTGATGGGCACTGATAGGCTGCACTGATAGGTGGCACTGATGAGGAGGCACTGGTAGATTGCACTGATGGGCATTGACAGGCATCACTGATGGGCACTGAAAGGCAACACTGATACATGGCACTGATTGGCGGCACTGATGCGTGGCACTGATTGGCAGCACTGGTAGGTGGCACTGACTGGCACTGATGGGTGACATTGAAAGGCAGCTCAGATGGGCACTGATATGTGGCATTGATGTGCACTGGTAGGCACTGATATGTGGCATTGATGTGGCACTGATGGGCACTGACACATGGCCCTGATGGACACTGACAGGTGGCACTTCTGGGGCCACACTGATCATCAGGGCACACTGATCATCAGTGCCCTGATGATCAGTGCACATGTCCCCTCCGCGGAAAGCCAATTACCGGCTCTTCTCTTGAGCTGTCAGCGTGACAGCTCAATAGGAGAGAAATGCCGATACCCGGCATTTTCGTGTTTACATGTGATCAGCTGTGGTTGGATACAGCTGATCGCATGACCGAGCCGACGTCTTCTGCTCTTTCTGTAATCCACTGTGTCCGAGGGACACAGCGCACCGGCGATCGCTGCGCGCTCCCTGAGCTGCGCATGCGCAGTGAGAATGGTATGACGTCCTATCAGAACGAGAGAACCACCTTGCGCCCATCATTGTACTATAGGGCGGGCGGAAGGTGGTTAAACAGCCCCCAACCCTGTATCTTTAAATGCACTGTTGGAAAAAGGTAGCTGAGCCTGCTTGTGCCAGGGCATCATTGAGCAATGATGTAATGTTGCTGTAATGCAAAACAAATTAACATGCAGACCTCTAGTTGATCACACCATGTGCAGAGATGTGAGTTTTTCTGCACGTGTTCTGCATGGGCACGAAAAAAAAAAAAAAAAATTGTTCTCAATGTGCCCTGTTCACACCACAACACTAGTATAGTAGATAAATGTTGTATGTTCCTCCTGCGCTTAATGGAGTGCCTATAGTACAAAGCAGCTAGCACTCAGACTGATACCAACAGTAAAGTAATGCATATGTAGGAAGGTAGTGCAATGCTCAATAACACTCTTATATATAAAAAAAAAAAAATGGCAGATACGTTGGAATAGACTAATACTGCAATAAAATGTCATATACTGAAAGCAAATAAACAATGAATAAATACAATATCGTGATAGATATTAATCACTAGCAGTAACCGTGCCCCCCTCACTCCCACTCTATCCTGATCCTGATGAAGTCACGTGTACAGTGACGTAACGCGTAAATACGCGAGGACGCAGCATCCGGAACGCGGTGATGCACTTCCGGTACAGCCGCCATCTTTCTATACCCAGGAAATAGGCACTTTTCCCGTGCAGTACACCCATGCATGTGTGGAGGAAGCAATCCATGTGACATTCCTATGTAAGTGCAATCCTTTTGTTCTCCAATAAAACGCACTTTACTTTGGCATACTACACTATCAGAGTTTTTTATATATATCCTACAACATCTGGATGAGTGGTACACCCAGCGGTGATCAGGAGCCAGGGTATCCAGCTTACCATCCCCAACAGATGAGATGTCTGGAGGAGCTTACCTGACAGCATTGGATAAAGATCCTGTTAGTGATCTTGAAGGCGCATAAGCCCATTGGGTCGCAGAGTGAAGGTGAGGGGGCAATTCAGCCAGAGGAGGAGAGTCACGCACCAGCACTGAATGTTCTGTGTTAATGTACACAATGCATGAAGTTTTACTGTGTTGAAACACCATCACTTACCTTGTGGACTGTGCTTACCCACTTTGACTAGCTGTACCCACCTTACACTTTACAGAGTGGGAGTGAGGGGGGCACGGTTACTGCTAGTGCTTAATATCTATCACAATATTGTATTTATTCATTGTTTATTTGCTTTCAGTATGACGTTTTATTGCGGTATTAGTCTATTCCAACGTATCTGCCATTTTTTTTTTTTATATATGAGTGTTATTGAGCGCTGCACTACCTTCCTACATAAACACTAGTATAATGCAGATTTTTTTCTGCGCCGGAATCTGTAGACCTGGTTCACACTGAAGCGATGTGGGAAAGACTGCGAATCCTGTGCGTTTCCCACACTGCATTGCAATCACTTGGCATTCATGCAGTGTAATGTGGGTGTCAATGTTAAATAATGACACCCTGAAACAGATTGCAAAACGCGATGCAAATGACAGAAATCGCATTGCATGGGTGAGAACACCCATGCAATGCGATTCAGGTGCTGGTAAAAAAAAAGGGTCCTGCACCTTTTTGGTGAGGATGCAATGTATGGCTCAAATTGCACCGCACAGACATTGCATGTAATTTGCACAGGAATGCAGTGTGATTCCTGCGCGAATTACATGCAGTGTCCCGCACCGCATTAGTGTGAACCCAGTCTAAAACTCACTGAAACAAACATGAAAACTTGTGTCTGCAAGTAAAATCTACATATCAGTTTTTCTGCATGTATGTTGTGAATAATGCTTTAGACTTTCTGCCCTGTAATGCACAGTGCCACTTTTGCAGTGTAAATGTTATATCCTTCTTTTGGAGTGCGGTTTGAGGTAAGACAAAAACCAGGGGTGTCCAACCTTTATAGGTTGGGAAGATAAAACCTATAAAAGTCCAGTAAAGAGACACTGTCAAATTTTTATTTGCCAGCATGTGTTTGCTAAGTGTACACGCATTTTTACAAAACCATTTCCCCCAAAACTTCGCCATTTTTAAGTAAGTTATGATTTTGTGTTGGGCTCAATCTATAGCTGTCTTGGGCGCATGCAGCGTGTGGGCTGCCAGTTGGACACCCCTGACATAAACAAATAGGCAGTCTTTATTTGCAAGGGCAGAGCATTCTTCAAGGAGTAAAGTTTCATCACGTGAACCTTTTTGGTTAACTTCCTGTAATGTACTGTATATATTTTACTTTTTCACATCTTCAGATTATTTTGAAAGAAAGAGAACAGAAGAAACAGCAGCAGCCTTCTGTGTCCCAGGATGAGGGAACAGTAGAGTGCGAGGATGTGTCTGAACAGTCTTTTGGTTCTTCAAGTTCGGGAGATCTGGGTATCTCACGTTACATTTTTTTATTATATTTGTAAAAGAATAAGAAAATGCACCTAACACATTACAATACCCCTCACAGGTCTTGTCATTGCATAGATTTGCCATCTTATTTCAATGAACAAGTTTATACCCCTATTCAGAATTTTCCAAGAAGTAATCATGTAGCATAAATGCCTCCCTGTAAGAGCCCATTCACAAAGCATGCGCTTTAATATGCCTTGACTAAGGCGGTCAGTTCATTTGAATTACCAGCCTAACAGGCCAAAAATGTTCAATTGTTGGTAGTGCACAGCAGCACATATCAATCTGCATTAGGCTGCTTTCATACTGTTCCACCGCAAAAACATGGTAAAAATGCATAGGTTTTTTTTTTGTGCGCTTATTGTTGCCTGCACCTGTGAAAAGTGGACACGTGACTCAAAGGCACCAAAAATGCAAACGCTGTGCTTTTTTTTTTATTTTTTTTTTTTTTTTTTTTTTTTTTTTTTGTGTGTTGGGAGTTGAGCTTTTGGTGCAGTGGTATGAATGGGCCCTAATACCAGAAGCAGAGTCCTAAGGCGTGTACTTCTTTTATATAAAAAATTATACATGTCTCCCCAGCACAGTCTCAAGAGCATGGAGGAGATTCCAGGAGACAGGTAGTTACTCTAGGAGAGCTGCACAGGGCCATAGAAGGTCCTTAACCCATCAGCAGGACCGGTATCTGCTCCTTTGTGCAAGGAGGAACAGGATGAGCACTGCCAGAGCCCTACAAAATGACCTCCAGCAGGCCACTGGTGTGAATGTCTCTGACCAAACAATCAGAAACAGACTTCATAAGGGTGACCTAAAGGCCTGACGTCCTCTAGTGGGCCCTGTGCTCACTGCCTGGCACCATAGAGCTTGATTGGCATTTCCCATTGAACACCAGAATTGGCAGGTCTGCCACTGGCGCCCTGTGCTTTTCACAGATGAGAGCAGGTTCACCCTGAGCAAATGTGACAGACATGAAAGGGTCTGGAGAAGCCAAGGAGAACATTTTGGTGGTGGGTCAGTTATGGTGTGGGGAGACATATCCATGGAGGGATGCACAGACCTCTACAGGCTAAACAGTGGCACCCTGACTGCCATTAGATATTGAGATGAAGCCCCATGCTTTCCTGACCTAGATCCAATAGTACACCTCTAGGATATTATGTTTCGGTACAACTGACGCCACCAAACCAGGTTGCACCTCAGACTGTCCAGGAGCTCAGTGATGCCCTGGTCCAGATCCTGGAGGTAATACCCTAGGACATCATCTGTTGTCTCATTAGGAGCATGCCCCGACATTGTCAGGCATGCATTCAAGCACTTGGGGGCCATACAAACTACTGAGTACCATTTTGAGTTGTTGCAATGAAAGTTCAGAAAAATGGACTAGCCCGCTGCATCATTTTTTCACTTTGATTTTCGGGGTGTCTTTGAATTCAGTCCTCTGTAGGGTGGTGATTTTCATTTTCATCAAACTGAGGCATCCTTGCGCTCCTAACACATTACTCAGTCCATATCAGTATAGGTATCCAGCATGATATTTTTCCCCTTTTGAGTGTTCCTTAAATTTTTTTGAGCAAAGTATTTTGGTCATTTGCTATAGGTTAAAGCTTTTTGTCTTACTGTGTAAAGGCTCTAACATCTTGGCCTGCAAATGTGTTTTACATAGAACCATTCACATCGGTCTAACATGGCTACCGTACTAAAAATCAAAATAACCTCCCAGTGTGTTTTTAGCTTGAGGAGGAAATGTACAGTGTCCCAGGTGGGATTCAGACCCAGCATTTGAGCTGCTAGGCAAGAGTGCTAGCCACTATGCTGTCTAGTTGGAGGTCATGTTCAGTTCACAATCATGTTTTAATCAGATATCTTGTAATGTCCATCCCCTCTCTTATTTCAGAGAAGGAAATTGAGCCGAATGGTGGTTGCTCTGCTTCAACAAATGAATATTCAAAAAATCTTTATGATACCACCAGTATTGTTCCTGTTCATCAACCGAGTACCAACCTCCTAAAAATTCATAGTAGAAGATTTAGAGAGTAAGTTCTTTGATTTAAAATGTTTTGTATATCTAAAAGATGTTTTAGGTTCACCTTTTGTAAGATGACCGTGCTTTATAGCTCTTGCTGTTGTTCATCATTTGAAAGAAAACTGCATTAGAGCAAATTGGATCCATTTGGTTAAACCTGCTAATCACATGACATACTTCAAACCTCATGCCACTTTTGATCTTGAGCCCAACCAATACATTTTGCCCCATTCAGACACTAAACTCTGACCCACTCTTTTTCCAAGTGGACCCCGAGAAATACTAGAAGAGAACATTAGGAAGGAGACATTTGTATGTGGCATATGTTTTGTATTGATACAGGATTTATAAATTGTAACAATAATTGTTAATAATAACACTTCTACTACTTCTAAACTTCTCAGTATAACCTGCTCTTTTGACCTGAAGCAATGGATACTTGCTGCTACTCACTCTGATGGCAACACCCTTGACATTGTATTCTGCTACATATGCACACTGTGCAACCTCTCTAACAATCCTTTTCCTCTCTCTGATCACCAATTTATCACTTTCACTCTCTCCCTTTCTTCCACCACCTCTTTCTCCAACTGCCTAATAATTACACATAGCAACTTTTGCCACTTTAACCCTTCTTTTTTCTGTTCTGCTACTGACCCTCTTTGACAAAATCTCACCCCTGTCCTGCCTCAATCTAGCCACTTCTGTCTACAATAGATCCCTGGATGCAGTCACCCCCCCCCCCCCCTCACTAAAAACAGAATCCAACCCTGGCAAACCAGTGACACTAGAAGTCTCAAAAAACATACCCTCACTCGAGTGTCTGTGGCGTAAGACTAGGTTCTAAAAAGACTTCAACCGATATAAGTCTGCCCTCCAAAAACACAATTCTTGCCTCAATGCTGCCAAGGATACCTATTTTTTTCCACTCATTAACTTCTCATCTAATCCGTGTCAATTCTTGTCTACCTTTAACTCTACTTCGTCCTCCACTGCTTCCACCCAGTAACTCACTGACCAGAAGATTGGCAGTCACTTCAAGAATAAGATTGATACATTTCATCATGAAATCTCCATTGTACAGATACCTCACCCACTTAACTCCCCTTGTCCACAGGAAAACTCAACACTTCCCTTATTCAGCCCCACTTGAATAGATGAGGTTTCTAAACTTTTTTTTTTTTTTTTTAACGCCCACCTAACTACCTGCCCCCTGGACCCTGTTCCTTTGCAAATATTGCGGTCACTATCTGGCTCTAACCTCTAACTCACATCTTCAATCTTGCCCTCTATTCTGGCATCTTCCCCCAACTCTCTAAAGCATGCACTAGTCCCCATCATACTTCATACTTAAAAAGCCTTCCTGGGACACCTCCAATCTTAACCTACGCCCCATCTCCTTGCTTTCCTTTTCCTCCAAACTCCTTGAACGCCTGGTCTACAACCAGCTGAGTGACCACCTCATTAAGAATAACGGTATTGATCCCCTTCAGTCTGGATTGCGCCCTCAACACTCCACAAAAACGCCTTTCCTATGACTCAAAAATGATTTACTAATGTATAAAACCAATGGAAAATATTCTGTACTCCTACTTCTTTCGGCTTTGATACACCTCCTCAAATTCCACTCTTTTGGTCTCCATGACTGTAATCTTTGTTCTCATCTTACCTATCCCACCACACCTACAGTGTCACTTACAATTCTACTTCCTCCCCACCTCCCCCTTTCTCTGTTGGGGTCCCCAAAGGTCCTGTCCTTGGACCTCTCCTATTCTCAATCTACACTTCCTCCCTGGTAAGCCGCCCATGGCTTTATATGTAATTTCTACACGGATGACACCCAAATACATCTCTCTATCCCTCCTTACTGATCACTAACTTACTGACCAACGTATCAGTCTGGATGTCACACCACTTCCTCAAACTCAATCTATCCAAAACTGAGCTCATATTATTTCCTCCCCCCATGTGCCCCTTCCCCTGACTTCTCTGTCAAGATCAATGGCACAGCCATGAACCCATCCCTGCATGCCAGGGTGCTAGGTGTAATCCTGGATTTGATTGGATGTGGTACCGAAAAGAGAGTTCACTGTCCAAAATGTGCCGCCTCAACTTCCACAACATCTCAGAAATACACCCCTTCCTAACCAATGACGCCGCAAAGCTCCTAAGTCACTTCCTGGTTATCTCTCATCGTGACTACTGCAACTCCCTCCTCATTGGAATACCTTTACATAGGCTATCCCTCCTCCAGTCCATCATGAATGCTACTGCCAGACTCATCCACCTTACCAAGTGTTAAGTGTCTGCTTACCCCTCTCTGCCAATCCCTTTTAATAGCTGCCACTCACCCAATAATTTAAATTCAAAGTACTAACAATTTACAAGGCCATCCACAACTCGGCCACCAGTTAAATCACTAACCTAGTCTCAAAATACCAACCTAATCATTCTCTTCGTTCCTCCGAAGACCTCCTGCTCTGTAGCTCCCTTGTCACCTTCTCTCATGCTCGCCTTCAGGACCTCTCCCAAACCTCTCCCATCCTATGGAAATTCCTACCCCAATCTGACTGGCTGTCTCTCCTACTCTGTCCACTTTTAGACAATCCCTGAAAACCCTTCTCTTTAGAGAAGCCTATCCCACCACCACCTAGCAACTGTATCTCCACTTTTTCCTTCAGCTCATCCCCCACAGTTGATACCTTTTGTATCACTTGACCCTCCCTTTAGATTGTAAGCTCTAACGAGCAGGTCCCTCTGATTTCTCCTGTATTGAATTGTAATGCAATTGTACTGTATGCCCTTATGTTGTAGAGCGCTGCGCAAAGTGTTGGGGCTATATAAATCCTGTATCATAATAATAATGAAAATACATTTTACAGTGGATTAAATGGTAATTTTTGTTTCTCAGGTATTGTAGCCAGGTTCTCAATAAAGAAGTGGACAGTTGTGTGACAGATCTCCTTAAGGAACTGGTTCGTTTTCAGGATCGCTTGTACCTTAAAGATCCAACCAAAGCAAAGACAAAAAGGCGTCTTGTGATGGGATTACGTGAGGTGTTGAAGCATTTGAAACTGAAGAAATTAAAATGCATAATTATTTCTCCCAATTGTGAAAAGATCCAGTCTAAAGGTACTAGTGAAAAGTCAGAAATTTTAAATATTACTCTTTTTAAAGACATATACTGTGTATGTATATGGGGATCCTTGTCGCTATATGATTTGTAATGTAGAGGTTCATAGGAGCATATATACTTGCACATTACAGGCTGTGGTTCCTGCTAAGAAATGATGCACAGTGATCATGCTTTACAAGAGCCTTTGGGGTTGATTTTCTAAAACTGGAGAGAGCAGAATCTGGTGCAGCTCTGCACAGAAACCAATCTGCTTCCAGGTTTTATTGTCAAAGTTTGGCAAAAATTGTCAACACTAAACTTCGGAGATGGACAGGGATAGTGACCGACCATTTCATGTTGCAAGCTCAGTACTGCAGGGACCTTGCTAGATAAAGGTTGTACAACCCCTGGCAAAAAGTATGGAATCGCCACTCTTGGAAAATGTTCATTCAATTGTTTAATTGTGTAGAAAAAAAAACTATTCCCAGACATGCCTCCAAAACTATATTCATTTAACATTCCAACCTTCTAGCTTTAAGAGACTTAAAAAGAAATCTAAAGTCAGTTGCAACAGTTTTTGCAGATCAAGCAGAGGAAAAAATATGGAATCACTTAATTCTGAGGAAAATATTATGGAACCACCATGTACTTTGCAGTTCTAAAACAAACCTCTGCATCAGATGCCATCTGCTAATTACAGTAAAAAAAAAGAGTACTTGCACTCATTGGTGAGCTGTTGCACCAAGCTGATTGACATGGATCATGGCTCCAACACGAGAGATAACGGTTGAAACAAAGGAAAGGATTATAAAACTTCTTCAAGAAAGTAAATCATCACAGAATGTTGCAAAAGATGTTGGTTGTTCCCAGTCAGCTGTGTCTAAAATCTGGACCAAGTACAAATCAAATGCACAAGTTGTAAAAAGGAAGCATACTCAGACCAAGGAAGACATCAAAGCATCAAGATAGAAAATGCCTTGAAAACAGAAAATGTCTGTGACCGAACTGTAAGACATTGCCTAAAGGAAATGGGATTTACATACAGAAAAGCCAAACGAAAACCATCATTAACACCTAAACAGAAAAAAACAAGGTTACAGTGGGCTAAAGAAAAGCAATCATGGACTGTGGATGACTGGATGAAAGTGATATTCAGTGATGAATCAGGAATGTGCATTGGGCAGGGTGATGATGCTGGAACTTTTATTTGGTGCCGTTCCAGTGAAATGTATAAAGACGACTGCCTGCCTGAAGAAAACGCACATTTCCACTATCATTGATGATATGGGGTTGCATGTCAGGTAAAGGTACGGGGGAGATGACCGTCATTAAATCGTTAATAAATGTACAAGTTTGTTGAGATTTTGGACACTTTTCTTATTCCATCAATTGAAAGGATGTTTGATGATGACATAATTTTTCAGGATGATAATGCATCTTGTCATAGGGCAAAAGCCGTGAAAACTTTCCTCCAAGAAAGACATAAAGGGGTTTATTTACTAAAGCTGGAGAGTCCAAAATCAGACTCCCTTCTGCATAGAAACCAATCAGCTTCTAACCTCAGCTTGTTCAATGAAGCTTTGGCAATGAAACCTGGAAGCTGATTGGTTTCTATGCAGAAGGGAGTCTGATTTTGGACTCTCCAGCTTTAGTAAATAAACCCCAAAATGTCAATGGTATGGCCTGCAAATAGTCTGGACCTCAATGCAATTGAAAACCTATGGTGGAAATGAAAGAATATGGTCCTTGACCAGGCTCCAACCTGCGAAGCTGATCTGACAACTGCAATAAGAGAAAGTTGGAGCCGGATTGATGAAGAATACTGTTTATCGATAGTTAAATCCCTGCCTCAGAATTCAAGCTGTTACAAAAGCCAGAGGTGGTGCAACAAAGTGCTAGTGCTGTACTGTAGTTTTTTTTTTTTTTTTTTTTTTTTGTTTTTTTTTCTGTTCTTGTTTTTTTTTTTTCAGGATTTTATAATATTTTCCTCAGAATTCAGTGATTCCATATTTTTTTTTCCTCAGCTTGATCTGCAAAAACAGTTGCAACTGACTAGTTTTCTTTCTTTTTAAATTTTTTAAGTGTTTCTTAAAGCCAGAAGGTTGGAATGTTAAATGAAAATAGTTCTGAGGCATGTCTGTGATTGTTTTTTTTCTACACAGTTAAACAATTGAATGAACATTTTCCAAGAGTGGTGATTCCATACTCCTTTTTCCAGGGGTGGCATAACCGAAACAACAGAATTTTTCGATTGCCAGGTTGTCAGATATACTATCAATTCTTCTGGAGTTAGGTTAATTTGTTCTGTTTCATTTTCCCAGTGATCCTGTGTACTTTGGTTCTGAACAAGAAACCTAAATTGTGAGCCTTTTGAAAAATGTCCCATTTACACCTGGTTATTGTTTTAAAGAGCATGTGCAGCACTGCTGTAAACCATTGTCATTATTGTATAGTGTTGTCATGTATTTAGCAAGTGGGTTACTCAGGCCCTCTGTTTCCATTTAGTGGGGATGCCAAATTGTCCTGCATATTCACAGGAACCTGTGCTTTTTACATGAAAGACAAACAACCGGTTCATGTTTAATGGTGGATGCCCCAGCAGGGCATACTCAATTTCCCCTATGCTCCCTCACTATTCTGTTTGCCAACACAAAAACAAACAAACTAGTTACCTGGGGAGGTATAGCATGTGACTCCCTCCCACTTCCTTTTCTATGATTGTGCTGTTGATTGGCTGTTCAGAGACACAAACCTGTCACTTGGGGTAAGTAGACATGAAGAAAGGAAGCCCTGTGAAAACTCAAACTTGTGATTCTCTGACAGGCATAAGTAAAGCAAAGGTTCATTTTTTTTCTACTTTTGGATAACTTGGGTAAGATTTTAGATCCCCAATTGGGATTGATGAGAACATTTACGAGTAATTTCAACTTTTTTTTTTTTTCTTCTTTTTTTTTTTTTTTTTTTTGTATCCTGTTCTAGTAATTCTAGATTTTCTCTCCTGACAAAAAATATTAACCCCCCCCCCCCCCCCCCAGAAAAAAAAGTTCCATTTTAAATCTGATTAAATCCACCCAACACTGTTTACTTTTTGGTGGGTTTGACCTTCAAATTGTGACACAGTGAAACTACAGCATTGTTTCACTGAGCACACAAATATACTTCGCAAGCTGAAATGTTCATTGTTAGTGTAATCATACTGAGAAGAAGTTTATGAGAGTAAAACCCATTTTTGGGGATCTCTGTAAAAAGAGCATCTGTCTAGAAATGTTGCCATTATAAAGTGCTGATTGTGTCTGTATGTATGTTGTTTGTGCAGGTGGGTTGGATGACACCCTTCAGACAATTATTAGCTGTGCCTGCGAACAGAATATCCCTTTTGTGTTTGCACTCAATCGCAAAGCTCTGGGCCGTTGTGTGAACAAAGCTGTCCCTGTTAGTGTGGTCGGGATATTCAGCTATGATGGAGCCCAGGTGAGGCATGTCTAACCTTTTGTCTGTTAAAGTAATAGTAGCCATTGAAGGGAGCATTTTCTTGTACCATTGTGGACAAACTATTATACAGCAAAGGAACTGATTATGCAACATGTTTGCATAAAGGCACCCACAAAAAATTAATACATGTGCTTTATACAAACATATAATCTGTGCCGCTTCCTCGGATTCTATTACATGTGAAAATAATATTTTGTAAGACCGGTAAGTAAAGATCATTTATATACATGTCAAAGCTCATGGTTATGCTAGTAACTCTCTTCACCCTCATCCACTGTACAAGTGAACAAAGACTTTTTTTTTTTTTTTTTTTTTCCTTTTTGTTTTGGTTGTTCACTGAGTGACAGTAGTAAAGGGGCCTCTGGTTTGGTAAGTTTAAGGAACTATAATAAAAAGGCCCAAATAACATGACCACAATAGGCACTGGTGTTGTAAAAGGCATATTATACATGCGTGCACATTGCTTTTAATGCATATGGGAGAAAAATTAGTTTGTTGGTTATTAGAAAAGTAAGCAGACGGTAAAAAAATAATTTTGGTATAACAATCAGTATAAGTTATTGTTCTGAATCTGTAACATAACTGAAATAAATTTAAACCAACAAATAGTTTGCACTCGGTGCTAGAGGGTAATGGTGCACAATATGTTCCGGATACAGGAAAAAACAAAATAATAAACAGAGTTCGCAAAACCTCTGATCATGAAAATGAACCATAAAGTGAAATAAAACTTGGCAGGGTAGTACTGCACGTTACTGAGAGAGTTCATTGGGCAGTCAGCTCAGCCCCCTTCTTTAGTTGTGCTTACAGTCTCACAAGCATATACATTGCTAAAAACCACTTCAAACAACTTCAATGGAACTGTGTGTGTGGTTGTATATAAGGTTAATTTACTAACATAAATAATACTCTATTTGTGGGGAAAAAAAGGACATAAATTTCATTTGGGTGCAGCGTTGCATGACTACGCAACTGTCAGTTAAAGTAACTCGCTGTAATGCAAAATATGGCCTGGTCAGGAGGGGGGGGGCGGTGTTTGGGAATCCTTCTGGAGGGCAAGTGGTTAACTTATTACACCGCTAGTGTTTATTCTGAGATGGAGACGTGTATCTTTTATGCTTGAATGTCAGCGGCACTGAAAGACTTGAGCTTGCCTTGGTTATGACTCTTTCAGTATATATTGGTTGAGACATATCTATTTGATTTTCTTTTGTAATTTTTTTTTTTTTTTTTTTTTTTTTACCATAAATAAAGATTACATAAAAGAAAAACTGAAAGCAAGGATAAATCCATAATTTCCATAATTTTGAGTTGCCACCAGTGGATTGGAGGGCAAGTCTTCCAATGGGGACACTTGTTCTGGACAACTCTCTAAGAGGAAACTTCCCTTACATTGGAAAGAAATCCTCTCATTTCCTGTTGAGTCTACAGGACAGGAAGTGAAAACTCCCAGAATCACACTGGCAACTAAAAACTTGACAGTGGTTATAACCCTCCCCTACTACTTAAAATAAAAAAATATTAACTTTAGATATACTTTAATCTATGTTCTCCCTTTGAAAGCTATCAGCCAAAACTGTTCACAACAGTGAGTTGTCTGATCGGATTGTCATCCAGTCCCCACTAATGATGGAGAAACAGTCAGAATTCTTCCTGATTGTGTGATGCTAGCTGGCAGGTTAATTCATAAAATAACCATTCAGCCTGAAGATGGTAGTGTGCCTCTATATACTGTAATTGTGAGATACAATTACAGTATTTAAAAAAAATTTAGGCCTTTTACAGCCCATAATAAAATGGAATTTTTCATTAAAATAGTGAAAAGTGTAATAAACTAAAGCTCAGTATATGAAATATGCAATATAAATTGTATTTAGGTATGCAGATGAGTTATAGGATAATAGTCAATGCATACACATGCTGCTAAATCTAGCCTGGACATCTAGACATTGATGAACTCTACATGAGAGGGTTAATGTGTTGCAGTTTACAAGTGGAGTGTCAAAATACAGCAAATTACAAATATTCCTACCTAGTTCTTGTGTTTTATGCGTGACTCATTGTAATGGAATGACTTTGCTGTGGTATTTCTGGACTGTGATATTAAAACATGCAATATGAAAGTTTACAACATCAAGGAACAACATAGCTTTACTCATATGATCCAGTTCTTTATAAACTTTGATCTCATTATTTTTGGGGTAGGGCTCACCGCTTTTCATGGAGTTGATCCACTTCTTCAGGACCCATCACCATATAAATATTAAACTGCTACTGTAAATAGAAAAAAAAACCAAATACAATAAAAAAAATAAATAATATTGTGTGTGCGTATATGTGTGTGTGTATGTATGTGTGTGTGTGTATGTATGTATGTATGTATGTATGTATGTATGTGTGTATATATATATATATATATATATATATGTGTGTGTATGTGTGTATGTGTATATGTATATATATATATATATATATATATATATATATATATATATATATATATATATATGTATATATGTATGTGTGTGTGTATATGTGTGTGTGTATATATATATATATATATATATATATATATATATATATATATATATATATATATATATAAAATATTTTCTCATTCTGGTCAAGTATCACACTATGCATGCATAAGAGGGGGAGAAGGGGGTCGAACCCTTAAGGGAGACAATGGAATTCAAAGCACAATATGTTTACATAACTGTAAATACTGGAATAACCATTACCTCCAAAAAGATGTTGATACACATCAAATAGCTTCAAACGTTCTGCAGAAATAATGTAGAGACGTTTTAGCAACGAACCTATGCTGGCTTCTATTTGTATACTCTTCATACCACAGGATATTTTCCTAAATATTAGACATATCATTTTAAAAGCCACTTTAAACATTCATAAAGTATTGGGAGCAGGCCAAAATTATATCCAACACCCACCTCTACAAATGCACCCTTTACATGTGTCAGGAATCCAGGTATGACCAGAGATGTGTGGACTGACACCAGGGAAATAGCAGGCTTCAGAAATGGTGAAATAATAAAATTTATTAAGAGCTGCACAAAATAAACAAATGCAGTGCAAACAAAACCAAACCTTAAACTAATATTACTACGTATAAGTGTAGTCAGGGCTGGAGAGGTGGAGTGGTCAGGCAGGCCGGGTCAGGAACAATCGGGCAGATAAGGTACAACAGGAGCAGGCAGGAGAATGGTCAGGAATAGCCGGGGTCGGTGCAGGCGGAGTTCAAGCAGAGTCAGGGTCAAGCAGGCAGAAGACAGGATACAGGAAACAGGATGCAGACAACAGGGCACATGGGAAAGCACCAAGGTACTGATTGCAGGCCTGGTACTGCTTAAATACACCTCCTGCAATCAGCCTCAGGTGATGGCTTGATTGCAGGAGTGAGATCCTGGCTGCTGAAAGCACCCGCTGGCAAGCACCGGTACTGCAGCCCACACAGCAGGTGAGCCCATTCCTGACACAATGGCAACAAGTTGGAACATAATTTCTTAAACAGGCTGTATTCCCACAGTTGACTCGTGAACAGGGCTGAAAATCCCCATATACAATAGTGATAATATAATGTAAAACACTTCAATAATAATTTTTCACTTATTACCCCAAAATCACTAGCCTCAATGAGAATCCAACAAGGCTCCACAATACAACTGAGTGGTGTAACAGATTTTCAAACCGGCTGTATCCCCATAAACAACTCACAAACAGGATTGGAAATTGCCTGTATAATAATACACAAAATAAAACAACCTTGTTTAGACCTATGCTTATTATAAAGTCAATGGTTACCATAGCTAAACTGCATTGTTTTATTACCTTGATATGCCCAAGTCGCCGACCTCATGGTCGAAACACAACCACAGCCAATCAGTACAGCAAATTGAGGTACAACACAAAGTCCAGAGAGTCAAAAAAGCATCAGAACAGCTGAAACACAACCTTCTTCCCCCTTAAATAGCTCCCAAATGGGTTACAGATGGACAATCAAGGCAGAACCGCCAGCCATGGTCTGCCGAATACCAAAGATGGCTGCCAGCTCCCGATGTGAGAACTGCGGGTGCGTGTGCCCACACACGCCCAAATGGCTCCAACCCCACCAACAAAATGGTTGGCCGGCACTGAGAGCCCACACAGGCATGCAAGCACAGGGCCTGCCCCAAAAACCAGCGGCCACCAAGGGACCCAAGAACGCCATAACAGCAACCCCTGGGTGCTGGAGGTGAAACGTGCAAACTATGCACGCCCACAACACCGCAAAACGAATGTGGTGCCCTACTTGTTCGTTTGTTTGCTCCTTGATGTTGTAAACTTTTATATAGCACGATTCAGTACTGTTGATGTAAAATAGAAAGATGTGATACATGTTGGATTTTGATGTATAATTTATGTTTTTATACTTATGCCTTTAAAAGTCCCCATTTTCAGGTCGTTTTTCAGTTTAAATATACAGTATTAGGGATGTGGCATGTGTGTGTATATATTTTAACATTGTTATGGACTATGTGATATTATTTGGTATTGTACGTTCATATTTCTGAATAAAATGTTCTACCCATAGGATCACTTCCATAAATTATATGAACTTACATTGCAAGCTAGACAAGCATATCAGGACATGGTTTGCTCATTACAAGAGCAGCAGAATGAAGATACTGAAGATGGAGATAAAATGGAAAGAGTCTTCGAATACAGTCAGCATAAACATGTGGAGGTGCATGCACAGTCCACAGCAGATAAGGCACCAGAGTCAAGCTACAGTGAGTATTGTTAGGTTTGTCGTGTAATAGCCAAAGCCTTCTGAGTAATGAGCACTTTTGGTAAACTAGGAAGGTATTTATAGTAGTCTATTGCTTATACTGTTGAAATCAGTACATTCAAAATTGAATTCAAATCAGTTGAAGATGTTTCTTGCTGTATTGCCTTGTTCTATAAATCACTGTTATAAAAGAATGATACAGCTAATTTTCCTTGGCTGGAAATGTAGGGCCTCATTTATAGAGCACAGCAGTGTGCTTTAAAAATGTACATTGCGATTTGCTTGCATCAAGACTTGTTAGCTGAAAAAAAAAAAATCTGGGGTAGACCCTAGTCATTTGATCAGCCTCTCAGCTAGTCATGAAGTTCTGTCTGAAACATTATGCAGAGACAACTTTGGGGAACCCTGAAGGCTCCACACCCTAGCCTTCATGTGATGAATGAGCTGCATTTTGCAGGCACAGTATGAATGAGTAAGGAGTGTGGTGTATAGCTGACATTAGTCCTATTGTCTCTCTTCTATAAATATGCCCCTTACGCCTCATTCTCACAGTATTGTAGTGCCAGCGGCTGCAAGAATCCAGCAAATTCCTGTGGTTGGATTCACAGGTGGCTGCAGATACTGTAGTTGTGCCCTCACAGCCTGTGCAAAGCAATACAGGTTAATGGTGATCGCAGCTGTCCACAGGTGTTTGGATGGAATTATACATGGAGTGATTACCTACCATTGGGGACAGATAATCTCCCTGAACACAATGAACACTAAATCTCAAGTGTTTCAAGCATGCAGTAAATGAACATGCATATAATGACAGTATAAGGTTTGTTGTAAACATACAATCCTAATAGAAGAGGGGGGAGGGGTATCGGGGGGAGGGAGTATGATATGACCCCCCCCCCCCCTTCTTCTTTTTTTTTTTTTTTTTTTTTTTTTTTTTTCCTTTGTGGTTGGTGCCCATCAATCCTGTTGGGGGAAATGCTCCAGAGCTCGCCTGAGGCCCTCCAAACTGGTATATTTGTTAGCTGCATGCCATGTGATCTATTGATAATGTGAGTGTACAGTGAACTCTACATTTATTATGTTATTGATGTTACATAGGGATTGTATATGATGAGGGTTTTTTGCCTTTTTTTTTTTTTCCTTTTTAGTCTCTAAATATTCTCAGCTCCCTTTTAGAAAAAGAGAAATCTTGAAACATGTCAGGGCATGAGAAATTGTACCCGTGGGTATAATAAACTGTACCCAATACATTCTGACCAAGGAACTTTTTTGTAGTCCTTATATGGAATTTTAGGACATGTTTTGAATGAAAATATATGTTTATGCAGTTATCTATGCTAATATATAGACTTCCTGTCTGTAAAATTCCATCCAGATTGGTCTTTTTGGTATTCCCCTGGACACAAGCTGTTTGCATCCAGGGGCAATCATTTTGTCCATAACTGCAGGTAATCACTCCATCTAAACACCGGCGGACAGCCACAGTCATCCTGCCCTCACTCTGCACAGGCTGTGTGGCTGCAAGTATCTGTATCCACCTGTGAATTTAGCCACGGTAATCCTCTGGATTCTCTCCGCAGCTAGCACTAAAATACCATGTGAATGAGACCTTAGTGTTGGAATTCAAAGTGCTGACACAGACTGAGGTCACTGGGCATTTGTCGCTTAAAGTGGTAGTAAACACCGCTGGGACACTTGTACCTACAGGAAAGCTTGTAATAAAGCCTAACTGTAGGTACAAGGAATATCTCCTAAACATGCACTGCTTAGGAGATAGTCACTGTGTATGCAGCTAGTGACATCACTAATACATGCACTCTGAAGGGATGGCATACTCATGCTGTCCCTTCAGAGCTCTGTGACACCCATGTGCATGCACACAACCTAGAAGGAAGACTGAGTGAAGATGGAAGCCCTGTCAGCAGTGACAGCACACCACTGGGGGACTTTGTTTTAAGTTAAGTATTTCATTACGTGCTAGTATGTGATGCATACTAGCACACTATATTACCTTGTAGGGAGAATTTAGAAGTTTACTAAAACATTAAACCATGCCCTAATTCTTCCTGTCATATTGGGGTTTATTTACTAAAGCTGGAGAGTGCAAAATCAGGTTAGCTTCTGCATAAAAACCAATCAGCTTCCAGGTTTTATTGCCAAAGCTTAACCGAACAAGCTAAGGTTAGAAGCTGATTGGCTACCATGTGCTACAATGAGTGAACCAGCTTTAGTAAATCTCCCCCATTATGTCAAAGAAGATGGAAGGAGAAGAGTTCTCATTGCTTCTCCCTTGTGAGTAGCATTCTTTGGCAATACCATCCTCCGGGCAGAGGCAGAACAGTCCATCAGGTACTCTAATGCTTCCAGACCATGATTGATAATATCTGATAGCTGGTACCAAGTGGTGAGCTGGTCACATTTGGACCACATCAGGTGCTTTTCCCTACCTTATTATGGTGAGGCATGAGACACCATTAACACCATTACTAGACCGGAGAACAATGGAACCAGTGTTCTTATGTCAGAACCTCCTTCCACTGCCATGTTACCTTCAGAATGAGGACCAAGCTCATCTTGAACTGAAAGGTAATGTCACTTACCATGTAAAAAAAAAAAAAAAAGAAACATTACTTTGCATAAGTCACAGGTTCCCTTTCACTGTAAAGCCATTTTTTGTATGTAACTTACAAGCTTTGAAAGAGAATTAAGATAAATGACCTGTAGACATAGAATTTGAGTTTCTTCCTGGAAAACTATGTATGGGTTTTTCTCTTTTGTCAAGGTAGAAAGGTGTGAGATTAAGATTTATTCGGGTTAACAGTTTTACTTGATGGAATGATTTTCTGTCTGAAACAATTGTAGACCTGTGACAAGGTTATGTAATGTGTTGTGTAACTTTTGGTTTTTGTCTCCAGGTAAAGTGTGGAAGAGGATGCTAGAAAATGAATACCCTCCCTACCCCCTTTGCCTTGAGGAAACTATCTCCAACGACATGTTTAATTTCCATTTATCGTGACTTCAGCTACATAATCTTCCCACTCCAAAAAAACAAGTTGTGGGCACATGACTGATTGGGAACTGTGTAAAGGATGCTGAAGCAAAATAAGAGGCCTTAGTTTTTTGGGGTTTTTTTTCGTTTTTTTTTTTTTCCTCTGGTATACCAAATGACATGTGAATTTATTTTAGTGGCATTGTGTATGAAAGGTACTTTTTTGAAAGGATGCTTTTAAAAGGTTGGTAAGGTCACAACCTGGAGGGGCAGAACAGGGTTAGCAGATGGTGAGTCATAACTAGACTGCTCTGTAGACATCTCTGTCCACCGAGAATTCTTAAAGCCGCAATGTTGGATGGCTCTGGAGCTTCATTGTGGTAGATAGAGGGCTGGTATACCCTTCACTAGGACACCTAAGCAGAGCTTTTCTACGGGCAGTCATATTACATTAAGTCATTAAACATTTCTGACCATACATTACTACTGTGGCCTTGAGTCAGCATTTTGCACTGTTAGTCTGGCCTGCATCTTAAGTTGCCATAGCCGTAAAGGCTTTGTGTCTGATCTTATTTAATAAATAGTGTAAGGAGCAGTGTTAATTATAGTAATTCATAGCAGCAAATCAGAATGAACTTTACGTAAGCTAGACCAGTATAATGTAGATTCTGACTTGTTACTTTATGTAATACTCTATGGATTTGGCACTTTGGTTCTTGCACGTATTCAGTAAGCCTATTAATCTAGTCTTTTGATGTTGAGAATTTATTGCCATCTTGTAAGTGGTAAGAGTTAAGGAACTCTAGAAATTGTCATTCTATAAAATGTGCTAGCTTACACTTATCTCTTTCAGTTTTACTGAGCATCAGCAGTACAGTTGTTGCTATACATCCAGCGCTCTGACACTGGACTTTTTAGGTCTCAGATCCTGCAGTGATCCTTTCTGTGAATGGACAGCAGAGGGGAGGGACAAGCAGTAACACATCAGCCGCATCTTTTCAGTCACTGCTGTTGAATTTAATCTATTGTAAGATAGCAGACATAAAATAGTGACTCAATTCCTGGAGTTCTCCTTTAAGCTTGTTTGCTTAAACTTGACACCTTTCTTTTTCAAAGTTGTATTTATCTATATACTGCAAGAAAGTCTAGTAGAAAGGGAAATTACAGGGCACTATAAGGGCTCATTTACACCTGCTTCAAGTTTCACACATTAAATCACCTACTGCTTCAACATGCTTTTTTGATGCTTCGATTATGCTTTTTTTGAAGCTTTAAGGAAGCTTGGCAAATGCCCTGTGTGTGTATTGGTTTTCTATTTGTTTTAAAGGGGCCAAGAAGAACCCTATCTTATTAGTACCCTCATTCATCAGATCCCCTTCTCAATAGTACCTCCAGCTCTGCTGATGCCCCACTCAGTAGTACCCTCAGCTTTGCTGATTCCTCATGCAGTAGTATCCCCCTTCTCTGCTGATCCTGCACTCAGTAGTAACCCCCAGCTCTGCTGATCTTCTGGTTTGCAGATCCTCCTCTCTCTGGTCCCAGCTCACCTTCCGCTGTATTGCTCCCATACTGCGCACCACGTGTGACATTGCTAGTTTCTCCTGCTCTGGTCCCCCAGCTCTGCTGATTCCACTCAGTCCTCTCTCCCTGCTTACGTTCCACTATAGCGTTCCCTTGTTGCTCTACTCCAGTCTGGACCCCGCTCACCTTCCACTCCAAATGTGATGTCTGCACCAAACACTTCCAGAATATATATACATGCACCGGACGTAACTGCCGATGACGTCTTTCAAGTTTGCTTGTTGGTTTCCCAGTGTATCCAGGGATACCTCATACCTACAAAACAAAGTACAGCTAACGCTGAATAAAAACCTCTCAAAAGCTGCAGGTGTTTTAAGTGAGCTTTGTCGTAGACTTCTGTGGAGACTTTGGAGACTCTTTGAAGAACCAAGAAAGTGACATGGGTTATAATTTTTGAAGCAAAGCAAACACAATATGTAAACAGGATTGTAAAATAACCATTTAATTTTTTGTATTTTTAATGAGAGGTGCTTTGATTTTCATTCAGAGAGCTTTGACCACTTTCCCTAGTTAAGATTCCCCCCCCCCTTCATGACCAGGCCACTGTGTTAGGTTAACTGACGATTGTGAACAACATTGAAAAAATGATATCTATTTAATTTGGGTACAGACAAGTAGAGCTTTCTTTTAGTGGTGTTTGATCACAACTGGGTTATTTATTTTTGATAATATAAACAAAAAAAGACTACAAATTTAAAAAAAAAACGCAAAATAAACAAATTTTTACTTTCTGCAATAAAACATCTGCAAAAAAAATGTATTTATAAATTTAAGCCCAAATGTATTCTGCTGTATATTTTTGGCACAAAAAAAAATCCCAATAAGTTTTATAATTGGTTTGCGTGAAAAGCTAATAAATAAAAAAATATATATATATATATATATAATAATAATAATAATTCTGTGCATAGTACTAATGACACTGGCTGGGAAGGGGTTAACATCTAAAGGTAATAAAAAGGTTAACTGTGTGCCTAACAGTGTTTGGTGCATTCACTGTGTGCTGTTTTTATTCCCTGATTGGCTTGTGCTGTGACTAATAACAGCATAGCCGGGACGGCGGGCGCATGCATGTGCACCCTACCCGTAAGAGCTGTATCATGTGTTAGAAACGTGATCCAGCACAGGAGAGCTGCTCTGCTTCCATGCTCCTATGTGAGGTGGTCAGCAAGCTGGTAAAAAAAAAGTGTCCAATGTCACATTTTGAAACAAGTGTAAATGAGCCCTAAGGCATTTAGACTTTATAGGACATGTTCTTTCTGCATTTTATACCAAAATCTGCTGAAAAGTTGTATAATGACATAAGAATGGAATTCGTAATGAGCGATGACCAGTAATTTTTGTAATATCTTGTAACAAGAACTTTCATTTTTTTTTCAGGTAATTGGCTTTAACATAAAAAGCGTTTTTGAAGTTTTCTCCATTCATAGCATGATTTTGAAAAAAGTCATATAATTATAATATGATTTTAAAGATGATGTAATGTAATATTAAATGTAAAGTTTCTTTTAAAGAGATTTACTGTATAAAATTTTTAGTTTTGACATCAGTTTGGTTTCCTTAGTGTAATCCATTTATAATGCAGTACCATTTCTAGCCTGCAGATGACATGGACGTTTTCTATTAAAATGTACATATATATATAAGAACAGGCTACAGGATATGGCGATTTCAGCCATTTTAGTCAGTTGATGTGGCATTATCAGTTTTTCATTACTGCTAAAAATCCCTGTAACATTAGGAAGATTTTGTCTGTTGGAAAAGTTCTAATTAGATACATTTTACACATAAAACACCAGCAGCTTTCTCATATAGATCTCAGACAGTACTCCATGGTGAGTGTGAATTCACTTCAAAATGTAGTTTTGCTTCTTTTGGATTTTAGTTTTTGATCACTTGTTTTTTGCACAGAGTAGAATGTAGACAAAAAGTGATGATTTTATTACTTTTTGTAACTAATTTGATGAACACGTACATTTTGCTTGTCACCTTTTACTGCTGTAGTGCTGGCACAAGTCATTTTCCAGCATCACTGTTTTACACCAGTCTGAGACCATCAAAATATCACCACCCTTTACATAAAGGGTTTAATGCCAAGGTGTGCAAGCCTGGGTTCACATTTGTGCGGTGCGACATATCGCACATGATTCGCACAGGAACTGCTCCACATTTCTGTGCAAATCGCATGCGAATTCTGTGCGGTGCGATTTGAGCCATACGTTTGTATGGCTCAAATCGCACTGCATCCACACCAAACCAGGTGCAGGACCCTTTTTTTTTTTTTTTTTTTTGATCCGCACTAGAATCGGATCACATGGGTAGTCACACCTATGCGATCTGATTCTGCATATCGCACAGAGTTTTGCGGACCGATTTTGTTGTTAACATACACACCCGCAGTGGTTCACATGAACGGGGTGCGATTGTGATGCGGTGCGGAATTCGCACAGAAACCGCTGCAAATTCCGCACCTCATCAGTGTGAACCCAGGCTAAATGATCTTTCACTGCAGAGCAATTTGACAGCAGAAAGCATATTCGATACATCTAGCAAGTAATGTGTTTAAAGTGTTAATAAACCCACAACAGTAAAATCAGTCTGTTTATGCAGTAAATAATGCTTGTTATAGTCAATGTGGAATCTAAGGGGTTACTCCTCCCCATTGTGTAAAAAGGTTGTATGATCCTGTCCTTTCTGATCCTTCCCTCCCAGTGTCTCCTAGATATCTCCTGCTAGAACAGAGGCTCTGGGGCAAGCTGCTCATGCGCAGTTTGGTGTGTATTGCTAGATGGTTTGTTTTGGTTTTTTTCTTGGGAGAGTGCATGTAATCAGCACAGGGCCAATTAGCAGTGTCCAGACAGAGGGTCAGGGGTTCTGCATCCTGCTACAGCAGAATGAAAACTCCTCCTACAAGCTGTAACCAGTGCTCTCCTGGACACTGATACAAGTCACAAAACTGCAATATACTGCTGATGGGAAAAGGTATTTAGCAGTTTATATTTACTAAAACAATTGCATATCCATGTTGTGTGTACTGTGGGAGACCAGATATAGCGAGTGCAGGGTCCTGGCTTCCTTTATGAGTTTGCTGCCTTGACGTTTGTGCTCTCCTTTGATCTTCCTGCTGCTTCCTTGATTGCAATCTCTGATTTTGCTCTGTATTGTTTAAAGTGTTACTAAAGTCAGGACCCTGCACTCACTATATCTGGTCTCCCACAGTACACACAACATGGAAATGCAATTATTTATATAAACTGCTAAATACCTTTTCCCATCAGCAGTTAGAGCAGTCTTGTGACTTCAGCAGAGCACTGGTTAAAGCTTGTAGGAGGAGTTTTCTTTCTGCTCTAGGAGGATGCAAAACCTCTGACCTCTGTCTGGACAGTGGTGATTGGCCCTGTGCTGATCACATGCACTCTCCAAATAAAAAAAAAACCCTCTCTAGCAATACACATATACTACACTGAGCATGTGGCTACCGGTCTGTCTGATCAGGTGGACATTCGAACAAGAGGAAGGGCAGAGAAGACTGGATCAAACATCCTTTTTACGCAATGCAGAGGATTAACCCTTTAGGTTCCACAGTGAGTATAACAAGCATGTTTTACTGCAAATACAGACTGATTTTACTGTTGTGGGTTTAGTAACACTTAAGTTGAAGAAATCAACCCCACTGAATAGTACGACTTCCCAACTACACAGCATGCTTCAGGGTTTAGCGATCAGAACTGTACAAGTAGAGGGGAACACTTACATATGTATGCCCTTGCTAGGGCTGTGTTTGCCCACACAGATGCACAGGTGTTACCTGCATCCCCATGCAGATTATCCCATTCATGTCAGTTGGGTGCTCCTAATTTGACAGCTGGGGATGTACACCCGTGTGTGCATAATATTCCTTTGCCTATTTGTATATAAACATTATCAAGTTCCTCTTTTAAAAAAATTTATTTTCTGAACTTCTAAACTGTGCTCTTGTATTTGTGGGATGTGGTGCCTTTCTCCATATGTTATACACAGCTTAGGCCCTGTTCACAAACTTTACCTACAACTGCAGTGCGTGCATTACAATTCATTTTGAGATATGTTCTGCCAAAATTAGGCAGTGCACCACAACACACTTGAGTGTCGAACTGTATTAAAACAAAAATTGTCCATGTCAGGTTTTAGGTGCTTTGTTGGGTGTTGGCAGCTCATTCAAAATGAACAGGCTTTGTAATGTACACCTGTTAACACATACATACACTACTTTAACCCCATCACGCTGACTGTATGCAAATATGCGGCCTAACTGGACTGGGCTTTTTTGTGTACCTGTTTGTGTGCTCGGAGTGCACCTCATGGTGTGCTCCCAGTATAGAGACTGGGGTTTCACTGAAAGCCCTGGGTCTTGTTTCCGGTCCTTAACCACTTCCTGACCGGCCGTTCTATATAAACAACTGGACAGTGGCAGTGCAGGGTCGGGTGGCCGTTTATAAACGGCCTCCCCGCACACTGCTTGTGCGCGCTCCCTGGGAGCGAGCAGCACTGCGATCCAGTGCCCGCTGTGTCCTCTGGACACAGTGAAACATCGATTGTCAGACGGGACCTCTGTACGAGGTCCCGATCATGTGATTACTGATTGGCCAATCAGTGATCACATGCAAAGTAGTAAGCAAGATGTCACTTGTGACATCATTGATTACTATGTGTGAAATCTGTGAATGATCACAGAGGTCACATGGTACAAGGCTATTCACAACAGCCTTGTACCATGTGACAAGCTGTGACCAATCACAGCTCACTCAGTACTTCTCCACTGACTACAAGAATGCAGACAGAGAGAAAGAGACATGATTGCTTTTACATCCTATATGGGTGTAAAAGCAATCAGTGTAAAAAAAAAAAAAATCTTCATCACCCCCCACAAGTAGTATAGTGTCACCATGGTGACACTGTACTGCTAGGGTGACAGTATGTAAAAAATAAATAATATAAAAATGTAAAAAAAAAGTTTAAAAATTATAATTTTTGGATTTTTTTATTTTACTAAAAAGATAACGGAATAAATTTTGGCCAAGATTTATGATGAAATATTATTTATTTGCAATATTTTATAAAAAAAAAACACTTTTTCAAAATCTTTGGACATTTTTTTTTATTTACATAGCAAAAAAAAAAATCCCAGCGGTGAATAAATACCACCAAAATAAAGCTTTATCTGTCTCAAAAAAATGGTAAATTCATTTGGGTACAGTGTTGCATGAGCGCACAATTGTTATTCAAGTGTGATAGCGCTGAAAGCTGAAAATTGCCCTGGTCAGGAAGGGGGTAAAAGTGTCCGGTCTGGAAGTGGTTAACGATCAGGACCCAGAACTCTTGATTCTGGGTCATCTGATTGCTGTGATCAGTGACTGTGAAGTCCGCCGCCATGTTTCCTCTCTGAATAGAGGAGAGCGATACATTTTCCTCTCTGATAGGACAAAGAGAGATACAAAAAGTATGTAAAATAAATTAAATACATATAAATAATACAAAAATACAGTTAAAAAAAAATGCCTAGATCAAGGTTAGATCTAGGTCGGTGCCAGGGTTAGTGTTTGGGTCAGGGTCAAGGGTCAGTAATTTTTTTTTAATTCGTGTTAGTGGCGGGATAAAAAAAAGCAAATTTCCAACTATTGTTTCCGAGCCGTACTACAGGTACACACAACAACTAACCTACACGTGTGGTATAACTGATTGTCAGGAGCAGGAATAATTATTTTGGGTTGTTGTTTGGTGATAGGCTATGGTAGTAGCCAGAAATGTACAGCTATATTTGCAAAAAAGATTTCTTTTTTTACTATTTTGAGCCAGTTTTCCTTGGATATCTCCTGATTTTTTTTTTTTTTTTTTTATCAATTACCATTCACCACCAAATGAAAGTCCAATTTGTCTTGATAAACACAAGGTATAATCCACCTGGATGCTGAAAGTAGTTGTGATGATATATACGGTTTTGCTAGCACATGTCAAAGTTGCAAAATTGTGCTTAGGGGTTAGGATTTGTTTTACCCTGAGGCGTGAAGGGGTTAAACACGCATGCTTTAACACAACTCACTGGTGTGAACAGAGAGTATGAAATGTTCGTGTAAAATCAAGAGTGCAGCTTGTTGTAGATGTCAGGCTGTGTGATAATGGATCCAGAACAAGTTTACAAGTCACAGTTTACAACTACTTTTTTTTGTATGAAAGCAGATAAAGTAATGAAAAAAAATAAAAATAAATATTAGTCTGTGTACAAGTCTGACAGTAAACTTAAAGCGTTTGAGGCTGAGATTTTTTTTTTTCAAATAATAAACATATACTTTCCTTCACTGTGCAATTGTATTGCACAGGGTGGCCACAAACCTCCTATTCTGGGGTCCCCCACCAGCACTCCAGGCCCCTTCTCTTCTCAGTGCACCACCATAGGAAGACGCTTGCTATAGGGGTGCACCTGTGGGCTCACTCCCAAGCTGAGCTGTGCGTGTCTATAGACTTGCAGCTTGTCTCAGCCCCACCCCCTCACAGAATTTGATTGACAGCAGCAGGAGCCTCTGCCTCTGTGAAGAGAGACCAGCGCCACTGCATATGGGCACAGCACTGGATTGAGATATGACACAGGTAAGTATAAAGGGGGGTGATACTTCCACTGGAACATGTTTTTACCTTTAATGCAGGGAGTGCATTAAAGTAAAAAAATGTTCTGCCTTTGCAACAGCTTTAAGGTCTATCTAGACTCTATGCTGCTTTGTAATATACCCTATAGAAATCCAAGGATGGATCTCCGCTGATCAGATAACATAACCAAATCTTCCTAAATCCTCTGCTTCATTATGTCATCTGTGTCATGAGGTTTGATCATCGTGGTCTCAGATAAACATTGGTTTCTGCTGCAAATCCTTTTCTAAAACATTGCACTAGCATTACATGTTGCATGCTTGTAGTTGGAGAAGTATTATCCCAGTAATCCCAAAATGTGAAAATCCAGATGGAATAGGGAAAAAAGATAAGAATGGTAAATTTAGTTTACATTTGTTCACAGTAGGGCATTTCCTATACCAAGATGGTGGCAATGAAGTCTAATTTGCTGTATTTTGATGACTGAGGCTGCAATGCTTTTGCTGTAGAATAATAAAAATGTTAAGTTTGCATTGTGTTCCTTCTTTCATTGCATTTGAATTTTTTTTTTTTTTTTTAGATCTCTGAACTATCCCTGGCAATGGGGATCATTAACTAGGACAAGAATGGTCTTCACTGGACAAGTAACAGGGGCACATTTATCAAGGTGTGAATGTAACATTAAATAAACATTTACTGTAGATGAATCACTTTAATTTAAAACACATGATCAAGGATGTTTGTTTGGTGAATGTCACATTATAACTATACCCCTTTTTACAATTTACACTCCATTTGGCTGTATTCAATAATGGCTGTTGGGTGGACATTAGAAAGTTAGCCTATTTATCACTCTTGGAGATGGAGATAAATGCTGGCGCTATAGCCACTGGCAGTGGTCACATGAAAATAAATCCGACAGGCTGGTTGTACTGAAGTTGATCGATGGGACGACTTCAACATAATCAGCTTGCCCTTAGATGGATCGAATCTTGGCTAGTTCCTGCTTAGCTAGCCGAGATTCGACCTCTGTTTATAGAGATCATACTAATAACAATCAGATATCCAGTGTTCTAACAGGAATACCATCTTGTTCAATAGCTGTTGTCCATAGCAATCATCAATTCACAGTAAACGAGACAATCTGCAGTTTCAATGTCGGTCCAAATCATCCCCATTACCATTAGAGAAGCCCTGTAAACAGAACCCATAACCATAGTAACATGGACATGGCTAGTACCGGCTTGAGCTGTGTTATTTAAACATAGGAAATAACAAACATCTTGGGGGGGATTTATTAAGCCTGGCAAGCAGAATCTGGAGTTACTGTACATATTAACCAATCTAAACGCACATCATTTTTTTAAAATCTTAATGCGTGCTCTGTGTTAAGAAAAGTACAGTGCTGTGCATCCCGCCCCCAAAAACTTAGCTATGGTCTGTTGTCACCATCAGTGGTCACCACTGTTCCCTGCTGCTTCCTGATCTTCCAGTTTTTGGGGTCGAGTACCACAGGCTCTGCTTCCTCTGGGAGGAGGGGCAGGGCTTGCTAGGCCCTGTGTGTGTTTCCATGGATACAGCTAGGTTGTTAAGGGAC